CATGGTTTAGTGGGCATGGTGGTGTTGGGGTGACGGTTGGACTCGATGATCTTAAAGGTCTTTTCCAACCTCAATGATTCTATGATTCTAACATCAGCTTTCAGCAGCCATCCCCCTGTTTCAGCAAGGCATCTGATACAAAAGGCAAACCTGGGAGCTATTGAGTGACCTAGGACAGAGTTTAGAGCACATCTGTGCTCAGTAATAGCTGCTCTGTATGGTCGCAGGTAAACCTTACCGAACCTGATGCCATCGTAGTGTTAGGACACCTACAGTAGTAATTTAAACCAGAGAACTAGGAGTTGTAGAATATACCTGCTTACCTGTTTAAACTGCTTGTAGATTACTTTGCTGACTTCGTCAGAAGGCTGAACTTTTCCAGCAAGCAGTGAAGAAAGCATGTTACCTAGGGTAACCATGCCCAAAATTACCCTGGGGGAAGGAGAGAGAGAAGATAGGGCTAAACAACACAAAAGCCTCAGGTGTTTCTGTAGATAAAAGCATCCACTCTCAGCCAGCCCAGAGACGTCAGTTCAACTGCTTCATGGTATAAAGCAACATTATTGATGGTATACTTGGATTCTGTGTCTCTGCAGGAGACAGAGTCCAGCTCTCAGAAGTTCTGGAGACTCACAGAGAAGTCAGTAGGTGCTGTGGGTGCCTGGCCCTTCTGAGCATCAGGCTCTTTGTATCTCTGGTCCTTGCATCTGGAGAGCTTCTTGCAATCTGAGAGCTTTTGAAAAGCACAACTTCGTTGTTTTACGCCCTCATCTGTCCTTTTGAAAGGTGTGACAGGACCAGAGACATGCTCACCTCAATTTTGCTCATTCCCCTTCTCCCTGCAAGGATGTTGCAAGGACCTGCAACAATTAATTCCTTGAGGTAGCACTGTAACTGGAGAGTCACTGAGCAACTCTTCGTTATTCAGTCTCTCCTACAGGAGACCTACAGGGTAATAAGGCAATCCAGCTTGCTGGGGACACCCTGGTTTATAGGGTTCACTACAACATTGCACTATAATGCAGTGTTCTGAAGAAACTGGGTGAAAGCTGTGGTGGAGATGGGTAGATTTGGGGTTGGTTGTTTTAAATATGAATTTTTGCTTTGTTTAACTTAAACAGCTATTATAAAAAACAATGAAATTATCCTGCAGAGACACACTGAGTAAGTATATCATAATAATCATTAGAAGCTTATTATGTGAAGGGCAGGACAGTCCTGGCATGACAACATATTAAGTCCAGCATTGGTGTGTTTAAGGTAGCATTTTTGAACTGTGTTACTATAACTGAAGAAAGATGAGTGAGAGGATATTATACTTCTAGTAAGCATTTAAAGACATCCCTTGGGACCTGGTGAGGAAAGAGATACATATGGATGAATAGTGATATATGTGGACATACCCAGATTCGTCAACAACTGGTACCTGGTCAAATCCCTTCTCCCGGAGAATTTCAACAGTCTTTGCGCAGGTAACAGTTGGGAGCACAGTCAGGGGAGCAGAGAGGCTTAATTCCTGAACACTGATGTTCCACCACCTGAGGATGAAATAAAACCCAAACCCATGCAAGTCTTAAGGAGAGAACAGAACCAGTTGTTCACGTACAGTGGCCTTCAGCACTACAGGAATGACAAAAGGCTGCAAGGAAGAGTCAGGATTCAGCCAGAGTCACTAAAGCTTCAAGCCTTTCAAGTTTTCTCCCCAATATCAGAAAGTCATTGAAGTGTGAGAAGGCTCTAAGACTAAAACTCTTTTCCTCCTTCATGTACTTTCTAGGATTGCAGATAGTTAGTGGAGACTACTAATCTCCCTAGCTTCATTATTTATATCTTACAGAAAAAATTTTGTGCTCCTGCTCAAAGAGCTAGCCATATTTACAGTCATTATAGGTAGCAATTTAGGGAAGATCCCCCTCCACCTATGTAGTCTTGCAGTGCTTTGCACTCAAGAACTCTGATCTCGGAAGGGTTCTTTGTATACTACTTTTTCATTTGAGATACATAAAAAAAAATTAAAAAACCATTAAGTACAAAGTTTTCTTTTGCTGCCATGCAACTCAAAGAAGGAAATCAACTAATTTAAGCAGATTTGATTAATAGCTGCAATTATACATCAACACAATAGCATGAAAGATTAGCTAAATCAAAGGAAGTAGTGTAAATTGAAATGAGCTTTAAATTAGCAACTGCCATAAAGTCAATTGAATAGACTCATGAAAATCCAAATGGATCTGACATGCTTACCAAGGTTTTTTGACAAGGTCTTCTTCTTTCATGAACCCTTTCTGAATCATCCATTTGTCGCTCAAGAACTTGGACCTGGAAAGCATCAGGAAGTGAAAAGCTCATTAGCAGGCTGAACATCTGACAGCAAACCTAATAGCACACAGAGGCAACTGTTTACAGCTCACTACCACTAACAACTTAAGCAAAATTGAAAATATACTGCCATTTGCCATCCAAGCTTACCAGCCAGGGACATTGAGAAGAAATACTCATAGGAAGAAAAAGGAATCCCGTAGGAAACAAAGCTTCAACTACATCAGTCCCTTGCAATACAATGAAGACACAGCCTGGAACGGAGAAGTGCCAACCTGTACTCATGCAAGGTCTGTCTGCGGTTTCTAGTCGTCTAGTATTGTGTTGGATGCAACAGAAGTCATGAAACACAGCTAAAAACATCATGTTTTGGGATATGTTTCAATGCAGTACGAGAAAAACTTCTCAGCACAGCTCAAAGCCCTCACACTTCCTCCTGTAAACTCACCCCAGCACTGGCTGCTGCTACAGTAGCGCTATGTTCTGTTGTGGACACAGGCAGAGAGAGCGGACAGCCTTACAGGGACCCTTCCAGGAATGGGATACCAATGGTCCCCAATAAATAAAACAGTGAAAGCAAGTCTTTTCCTGTGAAAGATGCTAACCAGTGATGGTTATATACTGACGTCAGACACAAGGAGGAGCTCAGTTTTCAGAGGGCTAAGCTCCTTTCTACTCCGTGTCAGACCCTTTCTCGATACCTCAGAAGTTGTGCCCCAAACACATTCCTCGCTTTGGTAACCACATGCTATTTCTTAAATATGTATTCAACGCGCCACTGCTGTAAGCATGCTATAAGAAATATGTATTCAACGCGCCACTGCTGTAAGGAGGAGGTCTGAGCGACTGCCTCACCCTTTTCCCAGAGAGAAAACAAGCAGGTTCTTACATGTAGTTCCTGACAGAGTCAGGAAGGATAACAACACAGCGCTGACCTTCCTTCAGCTCTTTGGCTGCCTTCACAGCTACAGACATGGCACTGCCTGAGCTGCCACCTGCCAAAATGCAGATCAGAGGCAAAACTGTCAAACCATAAGTGAAATGAGAAAGAATGAAAGAGAGGAAGAGAGACCGTAGAGGAGCCCAGGGTGAGGAAGCAGCTTCTGAAGTGGAAGGAGGTCCCCCTGACTTGCACAAGGCTTCAGCCTCCCACATATTATTCAGAGAAACCCAAAGGATTCGCATCTGCTCTTACCACACAGCAGTCCTTCCTCTCGGATCAGCATACGTGCTAAAGCAAACGACTCCTCATCATTGCTCTTGTACCACTGGTCCACTGTCTGGGAAGGCGCAGAAAGACAGAAACAAGGGTCTATTTAAATAAGGAGGGCTAGGGGAGCAACACAGCTAGCGTGAATTCAACCCATGCTCTTTGAGGTAACAGCTGCCCTACTGAGCCATGTGCCTGGGTTTCCATCCTCCAAATGCCAAGTGGGGTTTTTTTGCCAAGGTAAGACGATCACATTAGCACAACAGGCTCCTTATTGAAACCTCGCTGTAAGAACAGGCTGTTGTAAGACAGCCACAGAGAGCATCAGTTTCCTCCCCTCTTGGAGGGCTTCCCAGGGACACAGGCTCAGCTCAGGACATAGTCATACCACTTTTGGCTGGGAGGGGTTGGGGTGCTTTGTTGGGTTGTTTTTTTTTTTTTGATTGGTTGGTTGGGGTTTTTTAAATTAAAAAAAGGAAGTATTGTGTTCTAGGAAAATGTTATCTGCTCACAACATTTCCACCTACCATTGTAAAGTAAGTGTGGCTAGTGCAGAAGCCTTCTGAGGACTGTTTTTATTGATGGAAAGAAGCATTTCCACCTACCATTGTAAAGTAAGTGCGGCCAGTGCAGAAGCCCTCTGAGGACTGTTTTTATTGATGGAAAGAACAGGAATAGTTCTGTCTGCTAGCCCTCCCCTTTCAGCTCCAAGAAATACCTCCCCAAGTTTTTCCTCCGCCTTTCACCTCACTTCTGCATCCCAACAGAGGGCAAAGGGCAGTAAACCAAGAAGCATGACTTACAGATCTATCCAACACCGTGGGGACAAAATCATATCCGATTCCTTCCACTTCATACATTGTCTTGTCAGTCTTGTTTAGTTCTTCTGGTGTAGCAAGGATGGAGCCTTCAGGATCAACACCTATAATCTAGAGAAGCAGTTTCCACTTTGGCTACCGTGACACACTGCTTTTGAGAACACGGCTATTTACTCAAGAGCGCTGACCTCGTTACAGCTGTTGGTGTCACACTGGCCACACACAGAGCCAAGCTAACAGCAACCTAGCCTCCTATTCATTTCTTCCTGGCAACATTCACCTCCCCTGTGAACAAAATGCTTTGCTGCTTCTGGCCCCTTGGCAACCCATCCTGTCTCCTCAGGCTGTGGACACTAAGTGAGGGGCACCACTTGTTCTACATGGGTTTTGTTTGGTTTAAACAGAAGACAGGGTTTCCCCAAGACAAGGTTGTCCTCATTCACATGTCAGGCATCATTACAGCAAATACATTTTGTGCCAAGTGTAAGCAGGTTAAGTTTTATTTTGCTTACCGCTCCCTGCCTCTGTAGGAAAATATTCACGATTGAAACATGGTACCAAGTCCTGTGAGGAAATCTAACACAGCACACAGGTAAACACACAGGTTGGTGTGTGCAGAGGAAATTTCACTTGGTAAAACCTCAGCAGCTCCAGACAAGTTAGTGAAGGTACAGTCAGACAGGAAACAGAAGGCTGCAGTACACACCAGAGAAGGAAGTCTCTCAGACACCCCATGAAGGGATCTGAGGGCCAGGTTTCATCTGCTGAGCCAAACCTGAACTCTGGTCACCAGTGAGACCAGAGCATGATGATTTCAGACGGTCTGAAAATCTTTCTTTGCTGCTCAGAACTACCTTCTAACTGAGAACATCCAAGAGCTTCCCATAGAGACCCAGGGAAGGCTTGCAAGGAACGGGACGTGCCAAGTGGAGCAGTTTGAGGTCCACCCCGCTAAAGAGAAATGCTTTAGGCTTGCCACTTACTTTGCAACCTGGACACTTCTCCTTTAGCTTTCTAGAGATGCCAGTGATAGTACCTCCTGTGCCAGCCGTAGCCACCAGCATGTCTATTTTTCCTGTTTAAAGGTGAGGGATAGAAGGCAGTTGTGAAATCTCCCCCAGAATGATGGATTAAAAACCCACTTAAACCTAAGTATGGACTTTCTTTAACAAAAATGGGCAAGGTAAGGCTTTTTGCTTTCCAAGAGCTGTGTTACGAGACCTACCTTGAGACCACCTTGCTCAATCCCCATTTACTTCAGCAATGGTTTTGAAGTCTCCATCCAGTAGCCTGGCAAGGCACCAATTTGTGGTACTTTGGACAGAGCTGGAGGTAGCCCATACAGTAAGAGGAAAACTACAGGTGTCAGCTGTATTTGCTGATGTAGATAATTCATTCTTTAACTTAAAATGAGCAGCCCATTATATTAGTTAATTTGTTAATTTACTGAGTGAGTGCCAAGAGCATGGGACAGGTACCCATTGAGAGAACTGTTAACACAACTACTCTCTCATTTTCATGTGAAAAATACTATTTTGGTCACGAGCACTCAGAGTGAGTGCGGGTATGATAGTTCATTCTTTTGCCACCCCCTACAGTTTCCACGGTGCATCCACATGATAGCTTTGTTAATAAAAAAATACACACATCAATTCACGCATAAAAACAAATGCTTTCCAGTCAAGAGAATAACACCCTGCCAAGCAGGGGTATAAGCTCAGTAATAACTGAACAGTGACTGGCCTATGAGGAAAAGGAAACACAAACAAGATGCCTAAAGCTAGAACTCATCTAGACTCTCAGTTTGTGGGATGGCAGTTTGTTAGAGTATACTCATTTTAACTCAAACTTAAAGAAAGTTTTCCACAGAAAGACAAGCCAAATCCTCTGAACAGCTAGAGTTATTTATTTTTTTTTGGGGGGG